ACCTAGGCTTCTCTGACCACATCTCCATCCTGCTGGTTCCTACTCATCATCCTGTACTCAAAGACAACAACCCCACAGAGAAGCCCATCACTGTGTGGCCATACGGAGCCGTCTCCAAGTTACAGGACTGTTTTGAGTGTACTTCCTGACAGGTAATCAGGGAGTTAGCAACAGGTGTAAATGGGGTGGACCTGGAGGAATATGTATCATCTGTTTGTGAATACATCAGCAAATGTATTTGTGACGTCGCTTCCACCAAGAAAATAAGCAGGTATCCAAATTAGAAACCCTGGTTAAATGGAGCAGTGCGGTCTCTCGGGATTCAGCTTTCAGGTCTGGGGACCCAGTGGCACTGAGAGCAGCAAGGAGGGAACCAGTGGATGGCATCAAAAACTCGGAAGCTACTTAGGCCCTATGGATACAGGGTCATTTTTAAACCAACGACCCCCGGACAAACACAATATGCAGAGCAGTGGGTCGCGAGGACTGGAGCTGAGAACCCCTGCTCTAAATGCCTTCTATGCTCACTTTGACTTATCCAACTGCTCCAAAAGTACCAGGCTCACAATATCTCCAGGTGAGCTATCTTTCAGTGAGTCTGCTGAGGAAGTGAGGATGATGCTGTGGCGGATTAAGCCACACAAGGCAGCAGGCCCAGATAACATCTCTGGCCAGGTTCTGAAAGAACGTACTCAGGAGTCTAAGGGGTTGTTAACAGACATTTTTAATCTATCACTCTCCCTAGCTTCTGTGCCTGTTTGTCTTAAGACGTCCACTATTGTACCAGTGCCTAAAAAATCAGTAGTGGAAAGCATGAATGACTGTCGTCTTGTGGCCCTCACTCCACTGATCAACGACTGGTTCTGGCTCACATTAAAGGCACTGTTAACATCAAGGTAGACCCCTATCAGTATGCTTATGGAAGGAACCGGTCTGCGTCTGACACAGTATCAACTGTCGTCCACATCCAGTTGTCAGGCTGCTTTTCCTAGACTTTTCATCTGCCTTTAACACCATCATTCCGCAGACATTAATTAACAAACTGCTGCTGCTGGGACTAAGACCATCCCTTTGTAATTGGGTCCTGGACTTCTTAACACACAGGCCACAGTCGGTTAAGATCCACGGCACCTTATCCTCCACCCTTATACTCAACACTGGCTCCCCACAAGGATGTGTCTTGAGCTCTTTGCTTTATACGCTCCTCACATATGATTGCTCTCTAACACATCTGAGCAATCACATAGTGAAGTAAACAATCTCTGCAACAACGTGGGGAAGACTAAGGAGATGGTTATGGACTTTAGGAGGAGACGTCATACCCTTCCTCCTCCTCTCTTCATTGATGGAGCAACTGTGGTGAATGGAGATGGTAACCAATTTTTATTATCTGGGCCTGCACATCTCCAATGACGTCACATGGGCCACCAACACAGCCAGTATTATTAAGAAGGCCCACCAACGTTTGTACTTTTTGAGGAGGTTGAAGCAGGCTGGCCTGAACCCTGCTATCCTGACCTGTTTTTACCGGTGTGTGGTGGAGAGCACACTGACATTCTCCATCATTTTCCGGTATGGCAACTGGATTGTGATTTCACTTTTTTCATTTTAAATAGTGTGTAATGTTGCTGTTGGTGCATGAACAGTATCTGCAAAGTTACAGCACTGAAAGTTCAGTGTAAACAGAGATATCGTCTTTTAAAAATCAGGAAGTATATTGCCTACAAATACGACTCGATTGGGACTACAGCTGGGTTTTAAACGTCACTAACCCATACATTTGCATCAACCCTCCCTCCGGAAAATGCAAAAAAGGGCATGATCATATTTCTGCTGCTCGTCGAGTGTATTGTGTTCACCCAGCTGTCAGGTCTTCTGTGTTCGAGCTTCCCACGGATGCTATACTTCATCAACAATGGATACAATATATGTTTGATTATGTTCCTGAAAATGACGATCGTGATTTAGCTCTCTGTGCTGCACATTTACGGAAGACAGCTTCCAGAATCTCCACGAATTCAATGCCGGATTCAACAAGAAGCTGTTACTAAAACATGAAGCAGTTCCAACTTTAAAACCAGAGGCAGCAGTTGTTGGGCCACAACCTGTAAGTAGGCTAATACTTCATAAGAATCATTTCAAATGTATTTGCATGTATAATTCCAGATGTAGCCTTGTGTTTTATTTTTTTCAAATGCCAGTGCTGGCTTTATAGCCACTAGACTACTAGTTATGCTGTTTTGTGTCTACGACAAACGCGTACAAACATTATGGACCTGAATTTTGTATAAGTACTAATGTTTTAAACGTATTTTTCATGTATATATGCTTTATGACGTTTTTTTCGATTTGATCAAGAATGTAATCTAATGCCGCGCTGTTTGAGTATAACATTAGTAGCCAGTCAGTTGCTATTGTTGCCAGTCAGATGCTATTGTGTTAAACAAACGTGTGTAAAGTTACAACATGTAGCAAATTATCATTCAGAAACGTTTAGTAAGAGCCGTGTGTGGTGAGGTTCTGCTGGACTCTTTGTATCGCAGCTTTCTCGCTGCTTTCTCGGTCTGATTCTGCCTCAAACTGATACTGAAGTTTGACACCATAATTTACATCTGGACCAGAGCTCATGACATGCACGTTTCGCCCATAAAGGTAATGGGCGTTAACCTTCCGGACAACGTGAGCGACAGTTTAGCCAATCACCACACACCGGCCCAAACTAACCAATCTGAGCCCACTGCCTGTTTCTGAGGGAGTGGTTTCATAGACTCAGGAAGTCAACCGCTCGTTTGAGGACATAGGAGAGCGCGGCTGACAATAAAGGTGAAGTTTATGAAAAATAAGACTTTTTAAAAAAGAAAAACCACGAATACATGTAATATTGCACCCCATAAACACAATCATGCAAAGAAAAAAAACAGTCAACCCCCCCACTTTAACAACGTCAGCATTGCGTGACTACATGTAATGCCTTTCCGATATTTATTATTGTTTTCGCATGGGCCGGTTACTTTCACCATTTTTTTTGAATCTGTTGTCACTGGTGATTGTCGTTCATCCAATCAGTTAGAAATACTAAGGGTTCACTCAAAGCACGGCGAGTCCACTTTATAGTTATTACTGTGTGCCCCCCATGGCTGGAATCTTCTTCCAGAGAGATCAGATGTGCTTCAACAGTAGTCACATTCAATTCAGTCTCAGGGCCCTATCTTGCACCCGGCGCAAATGACTTTGTACACTGACGCATGTATCATTCCTATTTTGCACCTGTGCAAAGCGGATTTTCCCTCCACAGACGTACGCCGGCAAACTAGGAAATTAACTTGCACTCCCTGGGCGGGTCGGTGCAAAAAGGAGGCGTGTTTCGGCGCAAACATTCCCTAGTGCTATTTTGCAGTTCCAGAAAACAATTGGGCCACTGACCAGAAAAAAAGTAGTCTAAAGTCAGTGGTGTGTTGCGCCGTGTTCATAATGCTATTTTAAGCGTGCATGCTGGGCCATAATGTAGCAGGGGCACAACGCACGTCACACACACTTTGATTCTCTCATCAGCACAGATGCATCAGTTTTTTTTGTGCAAATCATACACTATAACAAGGAAAAATATTAACACATGAGGGAAATCATTGTGGTGTCCATGAAGATGTAAAAGAAATGCATTTCCCCCCCTTCCCACGCCTGTTTAACCGACGCCGATTTGGGTGAGTTTCTCCCATCCCCATACAACGTCACTTCTCTGTCTTTCACTGCCCTGACACGAACGTCGGTCTCCTCATCTGTGAACCGCTCCTGGCATGCGCCTTGTAAATTTGCCATATTAATAACAATCTGTCATGCAAAATGCACACCTGCTCTTAAAGGGTATGTTGGATGGGTTAATCTCACGTTACGCCCACACCGTTACTCCCACACCACACCTATGAATAATGAAGCTATTTCAGACCAACCCCTTTTAAACTTGCGTCGGGCACAAGAGTCATTTATTCTGCCGGTAAAATAGCAACAGCGCCCAAGTCCCGCCCACAAAGTTATTTTTTAAAGTTATAAGTGCTTTACGCTTGATCCTTGCATTTCAGATCGTTAAAATAGGGCCCTCAGACTTATTGCACTTTATTTGATCCTTTTGTATTATTTTGATTCTAACTGTTTTAATACATTTTAAATTAAGGTTTAATCAATGTATTCTCCTATGTAATTGTGATTATTTTATGATTCTTAAAAAAAAAATTAAAAATTGTACTGTACGTAAAGCACTTTGAATTACTACCGTGTATGAAATTTGCTATATAAATAAAATTGCCTTGCCCTCAATAAAACAAACCTTAACTCCATTAGGGTCTTCATAACCATGTTTACTTTGGAAAGGGAGCAAGAAAACAAGAAGATACAGATTCAGAGGTGTACACACAAAAAAAAAGCGGTCAGGGGTGGCAGAGAGGGGGGGAGGGCAGATAAATAGAAAGGATAGAGACGATGGATAAAGAGAGATGGTTGGGGGAGGGATGTAATGGAGATGGAGAGAGATGATAAAACACATTACATTCCTGCCGTCAGCACAGACGGATAGCATGACAGACGACTGTGCCTCCCTTCCCCCATTTAACCAGGAACTATGTCAAGTGTAAGCTACCAATCCTGTCAGCTGTCTTAAAATGAGTAAAGTCAGTGTTAGCACTGAGACTGAGGATTAGCGTGAGGAACTAAAAGTCCAGAAAATTACAGGAAAAACATATTTACAACCTTTATTCCATTATCCCATCACTCAAAATTAATTTTTTGCTTCATTAAAATTAGCTAATATGACACAAAGATTATTGTGTGCAATAAGTTTATATTTTCAAAATTCATTTTAAGGGTTTGTTAATCCCAAACATGAAAATTCTGCCACCATTTATTCACCCTCATGTCCTCCTTTCCTCTCTGGAACACAAAACATGATTTTTTGTTTATATATAAAAAAGGCTTTTTTAGATGTGATGAAATGAAGAGTGACATCTTACCTCAGGGGGTGAAAAGGTTCATGACACACATTTACAGGGTCTCCTCGCCCTAGACCATTCCTGAAACACCCAAATACAGGATTTCATTACTCATCATGACATGACAGTTGAACATCAAGTAAATAGTACTGTTCAGTGCAAATAATTCAGAGTGCTTTACAAATGCATTTGAAATATATTTTTCAGCATGATGAAGCTGCTTATTCTAGTAGTCCATAATAATAAAAAGCGAGGTCTGTGACAGCCAATAAATGTGACGGAGAATGACAGCGCTCTCTAAAGTGCTTCCTCTTCAGGCAGTGTCTCTGAGTTATTGATCTACAGGCTGGGCTTCTGAATTCACAAAAGTCAAAATCACTCAATTATTGAACTGGAATGCGGATCTCTCAAAAAGAAAAATATTTTATTTGTGGTCATATTTAATTCAGACCAAATAATAATAATAATAATAATAATAATACATTTTATTTATAATGCACTTTTCTTATACCCAAAGCACTACAAGAAGTACAATACAAAAGTGCATCCGTAAAATAAAATTTAAATGCAACAACAGGTAGAGAACAATATACATTTTAAGACACAAACACTATGTTTAAGACACAAACACTATGTTAAAAAGAATGTTGGGGACATGAGAACATGCCTAACAGTTAAAGGAAGTTCCACAACCTAAGGGCTGCCACAGAGAAGGCTCCTTCACCCATAGATTTTAGTCTGCAAGAAGGCTGTTTAAGGAGAAAAGAGTCGGCGGACGGCAGAAATCGAGAGGGCATATATAGCATAATTAAACCACATATAGTGCAGTTCCGTGTTCAGCTTTGTATGTTAAAATAAGAAATTTTAAAATCAATGCGGGTATGGACCGGAAGCCAATCCAGGTTCCTAAGCACGCCAGAGATATGCTGATAAGGAGTATGTGAAGAGTTCAGATGCAAAAGCCTCTAAGTGCCATTTGAAATTTTGTTCTAGAATGACCATTTTCATCAAGCTTGTGTATTTAAGTTCAGTTATTTCACTTAAATGACAATTAATAGGTAATCTTCATTGCCATTTAAGTGAAATTACTGAACTTAAACATACAAGCTTGATAAAAATGATAATTTTAGAAGAAAATTTCAAATGGCACTTAGAGGCTTTTGCATCTGAACTCTTCATGTGTAAGAGTTCTGAATGTGTAGCAGGCGCTTAATAGACTTTGCAGGTAGGCCAATAAAGGGCATTACAATAATCAACCCTAGAGGTAACGAGTGCATGGACAAGCCTTTCTGCGTCAGGCAATATTCCTGAGAGGCAAATTTTGAAATACTCTTGATACAGTATGTGCATCAAGTGTCAAATGAGAGTAAAAATTACAAACTGGATGGAAATACTACATTATATGTTCAAGGTGCAAACTGAAATTTCTAACATTACATGCAGCTGCAGGGATACCAACAAAAAAGGACCTCTGACTTTGTACCATTCAATTCAAAGAAAACCGTGGTACATTCATATAATTTCCAGCAAACAGTCAGAAAGTGTTGCCGAGATACCAGTGATATTAGTTTCTGTGCTAATATAGATTTTGAAACATGCCCCAAAACATGCTTTCTAATAAATACAAAAAATACAACAATTTCTGCACGGGTGTAACTTCAGCATCTGTGCTCTTTGGGTGTAGGGATGGTTCTGCTCATTAGAAAAAAAAATCCAAGGCACTCGAGTGACTTTTTTTTTTTTTTGAAAAATATAAAACGCACAAGCTACGGCACACCTAACTGGTGATTGTCATTTGACTAATTGATTGTTATTTAAAAGAACTGATTGTGCTTGTCACTCACACCTTGATGAAAGCTCATTGGCCGCAACGCGTAAGTGTGCCGTTGCTTGTCGTCTGTTTTTTTTTTTTTTTTTTAAATCTAAGGCATGAAAGAATAAAGGCGTTTTATATTTTTCTAAAAACAAATCACTCATGTGCCTTAGAGTGTTTTTACTTATATGATTTTTAATAATCTGCCCAAGAGGAAGCATATGTAAATGTTAAAAAGTATTGGGCTAAGGACAGACCACTTAGGAATACCATGAAATACCTGTCCGACGTTAGATTTATTGTTTTCTAAAACAACAAACTGTGTTCGAGTTATTTTGTGTACAAGTTATTTTTTAACCTTCAAATGGTCTTCGTTTCCTGTTTACACTTCTATATGCTAGGTAATGACCAATTTGTAAAACAATATACAATAAGTGAAAAAATCATAGTATGCAAGAACAACTTGGCAGCTTTGGTGTCAAGAAATGGCCTTGTTTAAACTTGTTTAAAATTCTGAGAATTGAAAGTAATTTTATTTGCCAACTTTTTTACATGACGTTTGAATGTTAGGGTTGAGTCATTTATGACTCCTAAATACTTGAATTCATTAACAATATCTAGTTCCTGTCCTCTAAGGAACACAATACTGCCCTACAAAGGCAAAGTGCAGTAACTACGCAAACAAAGAAACTAAGAAAAAAGGCGTTTACAGTTTTTACACCAGCCAGTCAAACATGTTATGGGTAGATTAGTGGTAATGCATCTCCGAAACGGGACATAATTTAACCCAGATATTTTTTCACAAGACAGAACATGTCATAAAGCCCATTACAAGTCTTAACTCATTTTTGACTAAATGTGTAGTTACTGTGCTTTGCCTTTGTGCAGAATAGAATGTGACACTTTCATATTTTGTTTGGAAATGCCATACAGACAGTTTTTTTTTTTGGTGTTTAGGTAGAGACATGACTTAGTATAATACATTGATAATACAAGAATGATTAACACAAGAAATGCATGTCGACTGATTGTTCAGAAAACAGCAGACAAGCAGTCAAGCGGTGTCTTAAAGGTAAGTTGCTAACTAGTTACCAGTGCGGTGGTGGCATGAGTCTGTTGAATGGTGATTTAACGCTAAGTTATGTTGTCACCAGGTGAGATGCAATGCTATAAAGTAAATAAACAATGTCCCCGTCTTTTACTCTCACAACTAGCTTATCAAACTCTTTTGCTACATTAGCTAGCTAGCCATTTTTATACCTTGTGAGTTGAATGGAAGCTAAGGTGTGTGCGTATACACAGTGTTGGGTAAGTTACTCTAAAAAAGTAATTAATTACAAGTTACTAATTACCTCTTCAACAGTGTAATTAGATTACTGTATTAATTACTCTCTCTAAAAAGTATTTAATTACTTTTAATTACTAATTACTTTCAAAATCCCATATCAATCTCAACCAGCTGAATAATACAATGATAGACATGAATCTGTTTTCATTCTTTCAAATAAATACTATAAAATTGCATGAATTATCCTTAAACTGACCAAGGTGGAGAAGGTTACATTATCAGGGTGGCCGCGGCTCCTTAAAAAGTATTAAAAAGTCTTAAATCAATTTTCCTAAAAATAAGGCCTTAAAATTATTAAACTTAAATTCAGAATTCAGATAAATTCAGAAAACTTTAAATTCTTAAATTCAGATTGGATAGGTCTTAAATATGTTTGTCATGTCACCGCAAAGATGCATCGTTCTGCCAGCCAGGTCGAATATTTTCTACAAGGTAACGTAACCTCATATTTTGTACATGACCTATCAACTGACCAATCGGCTAACCTAAACTTAACCAATCGAGCTGCTTCGTGGGCGGGTCTTGGCGTGACGGGATTCGTAATTTCGCTACAGGTAATGGTTAATAGCCACATAGAAATAGTGGGTGGGTGCGCAGAGACAAGGGCGTGATCGAACTGTGTGTGTGTTAGAGACACGCAGGTGCGATCGAACAGTGGAGACATAAAAACATAATCCATCATTTTGTTCATACAGGACAACATTCAGTCTGCAAACTGTATGTAGGCCTATTCTCGCATTAAAACACAGTTTTAAAAGCACAGCATACTGTATTTATCCAACCAACCCCTGTTTGAAACAGTCGGTGTGTTGTAACATCTGTCAGAGTTTGAAGTCTGCTCAGATGAAGAATAGGAAAGAACTTGTAGTTCCACGAGTCCTTTTATAGTTGCTTTCTTTCAGTTAAGCACACTCTTCACATACATGTGCACGCATCAGCGGCCCCTAAGTTAATAACTAATGATATTCGCAATGGAAGTGAATCAATCATAACTTTAACTGGACAATAACTTTATCCTAATGCTGCTGTAAAGCCTAAATAATCTTTTAAGGTAATTTCTACTATAACCATAAACCTGCTTTGAAACAATCAATACTGTTAAAAGCGCTTTATAAATGAAGGTGACTTGACTTCAGTAATGGCCTCAGTGGCCATAACAGTGCAGGCAGGGAGCAGGACGAACGTCGAGAGAGTTCATAGACGACCTCTGTGGTCGTGTCGAAGCAGACGAAGAGTGCATGAGCGAACGCCGCACCCTCGGGAGTAGCTGGAGTTGTCGCCGCTGCCTCAGGAGGAGCTTGAGTGGACACCGCCACCTCGGAAAAAGCTGGAGATGTGTGTGCAGCCCAAACACAAACAGTAGGATCGTGACTGCCATTACTGAAAACGCAGCCGATGGTGGTAGGACATCCGGGACCACCGAAATTGGGATCACCAGTATCAAATGTGCTGAAACCACTGGACTAGGGTGCGATAGACTAGGGGATGTTGGCACCGCTGGGATACCAGCTGCTAGCACTGACATACGCGACATTGGACACCAGTCTCAAACACCTATAGGGACTGGTTTGGTAGCTTAGGTGCAGCGTTCATAATGGCCGGTAACTCTGGCGTGACGTCCATGGTGGCTGGAGACTCTGGTGTGGCAGCCTCGGCCATGACATGACATGAAGAGGCTTAGGTTTGGTGGCCATGACGTAGAGAGGCTCAGGATTGGCGGTTCTTTGCTGAAGAATAGTGCTGAGGTCACATCCTGGTCCATTCAATTAAATTCAATTCAAAGACCTTTACTTATCTGTTAGGAACTTCATTCGTGCTGAGCATCAATGCGTGTACGGTTCCACAAACACAGCACAATATACCACACACAATTCTATATAAATAAATAATAAGTAATAACTTAAGCTTTCAAATTACAAT